AGCACCAGAGATATTCAGGAACCTAGGGGTCTTTATTGAAATTTTGTATATTTGTATATGAACTCGTCGTAACGAGAGTTGCTTCTTACTAATTGGAGCTATCCCCCCCCAAACCCGAGGCTGACCGCGTGCTGAAGGATTGAACTCCACTGTAAAGCTGCTCGTTTGTTCTCTGGCTCAATCTCTGAAGCGCCTGACCGAGATCAAAACAAGCCAAGCACCTCAGGAATGAAGAAAGGAAGACCTTGGCTCATTCACACACTCAGATAAAAAAAAAAATAAGATTAATAGTATACTCATATATTTATTTAATAATTAAATTGTCTGCAATTAAGCGAAAAACTGACCATTCCCACCAGCAGCGAGAATTGCTTGATGGGCTGGTCCATGGAGCCGTCTGCACCTCCCAGGAGTGGGAGTACTTGATTGACCGACCAGCAAACCAGACGTCCTCCCCAACAGCGGCTTTCTTTGATTGGTTGTGATGTGAAAGTGGCTGCTACTATTAGACTGCCCCACCGGAAGCTGGTTGTTTCCGCCTGCAGCGGATAGCTTAACTGGCGAAATTGATTGTTCCCGTCTGTAGCGGAAACACCTGATTGGACTGTTCCACCGAAAGCTGGCTGTTTCCGCCTGCAGAGGATCACTTAACTGGCGAAATTGATTGTTCCCGTCTGCAGCGGAAACACCTGTTTGAACTGTTCCACCGAAAACTGGCCGTCCCCGCCTGCAGCAAGAACGCTTGATTGGACTGAACCGCCAAAACTGGCTGTTTCACCTTGTATATACCACTCGCTCTCTCCCCCCTTTTCCTGCGAGTCTGCTCCCTTTGCTCTCACTTGTTCACATCTTCTTACTACTACTCCCTCTCTCTGCATCTTCCCCCGCCTTCTCTCTCGCTGTCCACACCCCGTGCGTGTGAGGGCGTATAAAGAGGAGGAATATGAGGGCGCAGATCTGTTAACTCTCAAGATCTGGGTGTACTCACACTCCCCGGGGCGAAATAAGGCTCAGGTCCAGAGGGGAAGTGGCTCACAGTTGCACGTCAGTGGATCGGTCAGATCAACCCGCGAAAATTGGGATGTATTCGCTCTACTTATGAGGGCAGATTTATGCGCACAATTGCACTTTAATGGGACGGGCACATCAAGCCCAAAAATCAGGATGTATTTGCCCACTTATAAGTGCAGATTTATGCTCTCTTCTTTACACTAATGGAACAGCAGATCAAACCCCTGTAATCAGATTGTACTTGCCTCACTTGTATACAGGTAGATTAATACTCTCCCTTTTTAATCAGAATGTATTCGCCCTGCATGTAGGGGCAGATTAATACTCTCATTTTTGGACGAATGGAACGACACATTTAGCCCCTATAATCAGAATGTATTCGCCCCGCATGTAAGGGCAGATTAATACTCTCTTTTTTGCACTCATGAGACGGGCAGATCTTGCCCCTGTAATCAGAATGTATTCGCCTCGCATGTAGGGGCAGATTAATACTCTCTCTTTTGCACCGATGGAACGGGAAGATTTAGCCCCTGTAATCAGAATGTATTCGCCCCGCATGTAAGGGCAGATTAATACTCTCCTTTTTGCACTGATGAGACGGGCAGATCTTGCCCCTGTAATCAGAATGTATTCGCCCCGCATGTAGGGGCAGATTAATACTCTCCCTTTTGCACCGATGGAACGGGGAGATTTAGCCCCTGTAATCAGAATGTATTCACCCCGCTTGTAGGGGCAGGTAAACACATGTAATTACTCAGTAGGGAAACGGACATATCATGCCTGTAAATCTGAATGTATTCACTCATATTTTGAGAACAGATTCAGAGCTTATGATTGTTAGTAGGGAAACGGGCATATCATGCCCGTAAATCTGAATGTATTCACTCCCATTTTGAGAACAGATTCAGAGCTTATGATTGTAAGGATGCAGCGGGCATATCGAACCCAAATATTTGAATGTATACGCCCCACCTTTTGGGGCAGATTAACGCATTCTCAATCCCACAGCAGAGTGACGCCCGTCAGTAAGCTGGTTCGGCAGGGAGCTATGCACGCCATGCATACCAGGAAGATACTTTCCCTCTATCGGAGTTATACTCATCAATCACTTTGACTTGGCTTTCCCCTCTCCCGTCTGTTCACGCGCTCACGTGATGGTTGAAGCACTAGATCATTGGGCGCGCTTCGCGCCACTTTCCCGGTGTCCTCACCTTGGCTTGGTCGTGGGCCAGGTACACCTTGCCTGCCTCTCCTTTTTCTTCCGACCGTCTTCCCTATATGGTTCCCCAGTTCACCCGAGAGTCGACCTCGGCCTAGTCCCAGCCCGTAGGCCTTGGCAAATTAGGAGTAATAACTCAGTATGCCCGAACAGTCCCAACTGGTCCACCCTTACCACTCTGTTTCAGTATCAGAATAGCATGTTGTGTTCGCTGTGAGTCCCCACTGTCGACAGAGAGCCGCGGCGGCAGGTTTATGCCGATGTAAGAATATAGGACCGGAGTGATCATGAACCAGCCTATTACCGCGACGTAGCCGATTTGGACCAGATCAGTGTTACACACCAAGACTTTCCATAGGAGCATCGTATCAGCATCAGCCGTGAGGTTTTACCACACCAGCGCCAGGAATGACGAATCTGAAGTCGTACCAGTCTTGGGCCGCCACGCCGGTGCTAATTATGAAGTTCAGAATTGCAACAATTTGCACCGTGCTAGTGTCGTCCCAGATCCGAACCCAAGTCGACCCGCTGCTGTAGTTCCGGACCTGTCGTAAAATGTTGTACCAGTTCCGGACCTGAGAGTTAATCTCCACGGGAGCCTTGACCAGCGCAAAACCTGAAATAAGTTGATGCCGAACCCACACCGAGCCTGTAACGGTGTCGGTTCAGAACCCGAACTGAGCTATCGCAGTGGTCTCAGACCTGAAAATAAATGACTACGAGGGTTTTGACCCTGAAAACGAGACGCCGTAGTGGCCTTATGCCTGAAACATACTGACCTCAGCCCCATACCAAACCAGAAATATACCCCTGCAGAGGCTTGAGGCTGGAAGATAAATCACCGCGGAGGTTCTGAACCTGAAATAGATCGTCACAGTGCTCCCGGACCTGAGAATAATTCACCACAGAGGTCTCGAACCTGAAATAGATCGTCACAGTGCTCCCGGACCTGAGAATAAATCACCACAGAGGTCCTGAACCTGAAATAGATCGTCATAGTGGTCCCGGACCTGAGAATAAATCACCGTAGTGAAACAGGTGTCACCKGRCCCATACCGTACCTGAAGCACGTCTGACACCGTAGGACGTAGCCGCTCCGTAACATCCCTCGTACCCGCACCGAACCAAACATCATAGTGACCCAAGGTAGCACCTGTCCATGCGTCTCCCGCTCTCAGAACATCCCAACTGCGGTAGTGTTAGTAATCAAGCAAACCAGCGAAAGCGACGCAGGGAACCTCGACCATCGGCAGTATTGAAAACTGTTAAAATCCGGGAAAAATGTCCAATCCGGGGTCAGGGCTGATGGCGGGTAATCGAGGCGAAATTAGGCCAATCTCCGAATAATCATGGGTTACCGTCCCTTTCATCGTTTTTCATCATTCTTCCCTTTCCTTAATTCTATTGTCGGAAATAGTAAATCAACTGTAAGTTCCCTAAAATTAAATTCGGAGAAAGTTTAAATAAATGGCCGAATTCCTTCTGTTTCTTTTCTTTTTTATTATTCTTAATCTCTTTCTATGTTTTTAATTTCTTTGCCGGGAACATAAAAGAACAAGGGTATTTCCCCTAGAATTAAATGCCGTGAAAAATAAAGAAAATAAGGGATATTATAATTTTTCCCTTCTCCCCTACCGGTCTTAATCCTTTACCCCCTCTTTAATTTTGGTACTAAAATAGACAAAAATTCGAGGTCTCTTTTCGTATTGTTGCAAAAACGTTGTACCGAGGTAAGTTCCGCGATGTCTCTACGCAACAGTCCAATCCGGGTCGAACCTTCTGAACGACTGGAAATAGCGGTCTCTAGATATGCCGAGTGCGCTTACCCATCTCACCGTCTTTGAGGGTTCGTCGTAAGGTTCAGTGTGCCCAAAATCAGGGGTGCCCTGAGTTCCCCTAACTTTTGCTGCCTGGTCATACTAGAGTACCGTCAAAACATGGACTTGTCCCTAGGCCTAAGCCCCAAAACCGCAGATTTCAGGCGGCGCACTGCTTGTGGCCCCCTGACAACATGTCCTACCTTCGTCCTCTTCCCTCCTCTCCTTCTCTGCCATCATCTGCATTGTCCCTCGGTTAAGAGGAAGACGACGACTATCTAGAATCCTCTTTTCTCTCCCAACCATTGTCGTCGACTCCGCCTTCATCACCATGAGTTTTTCGACGGAGCAGGTGATCAACGAGCGTTTGATGACCCGGAAGGGGCGTATAGCGACAATCCGGCAGGTGCAGCGACCTCGGTTGAGTCCTGATCTCCTTCGATTCGCAGCCTTCTTCAGCAAAGCATCCATCCACGCAGCAGCAGAGTTTCGCTTCGTACACGCTGGGGCAACGCGTGTACTGGCCGAGATTTCGGCTTTCTAGCGCATGTCCTCGCCCGACGTCAGCCACGTATCCGTCATCGTCACTTTCATGGGTGATATTACGACGCTACACCCGACGATTCATGCGGACATCTATCGGCAGTTGCGGGGCTGGGCCGAGGAGATGACGACCACGTGGGTCGAGTTGCTAGCTCTGCGGGAAAAAGGATTGTGGCCACAAACAACATACACCTCTGACTCCGTACCTCCAATAGCGCGCCGAAAATCCTTCTCCCGGAGCTTTTAAATCCCCTTTGAGCGGCCCCAATAAACCGTCATCGTCTCTCCCTCTTCAACCTTCCGTATGATATCCCCACCCTCTGGCAATCTCCTAGCGATCCCCGCCTCTCTCTCCGAATCCGGGAGCTTAGCGTACCGATCTTGGACGAGGACAAGTGGAACGGGTGGTGGGACGCCTACGTAGAGCTCAACTTTTGTTTGGTGTACGTGGTGTTTCGTTGGGCTGAGCCAGCACCAAAATCTGAAGGGGTTGAAGTCCAGGACGACGAGGTGGAACTGTTGATCGTGCAGGCTTGGCGGACGAGTACGGAGGGAGAATTGTTGGGGATACTATTCGGCAAGGTTATGGAAGGTCACCTGGGCGCAATCACGAACGAGTTGTTGGTGTTTTTGGCGCAGCTGGTGGACGATTTGCCCCTCGATATCCTGTCGAGGTGTGACGAGAAGTCGGGGACTTACGTGCTCCCTCGCACGCTTGCGCCACATCTGCTGTGGTCCACGTGTACGGAGCTGGACGGAGATAACTGCTTCTACCCATCCCCGGGCCTCTATCTCAAGATCGACATCATCGACCTCACACTGTGGGACCCCTTTATCCGGCGAGGAAACACAAAAGAAGCCGGTTTCGAAGACGAAGAAGAAGAAGAAGAAGAAGGAGAGGAGTCAGAGGAAGAAAAATCGGGCACTGATCGGGACGATCCCGACTACATTGGGATAGAGGAGGAGGAAGAGAAAAGTGGATCGGAGGAATCGAGTAGCCATCCCCCACGAAGCAAGGAGGAGGAGGAAGTTGAAGCTCAACGGAGGCGGGAGAAAGTGGAGGGCAAGCAGCCAGTCTAAGAATTTGAAAGGCCGCCACCACAACTACTGCTGGGCGATCCATCGCTGAATCCGGAGTCGGCGCGCGAAGAATCTGATGGAGCCGCAACGTAGGGATCAGGAAGCAGACGCCGCTGAAGAAGCGAATCGCCGGCTTCTCCATTCCGAGCTACTCTTCGCCTTTGTGGAAATACGGGCGATCGGGCTTCGTCCCCGGTCGTTATCCCACTGTCCCCTTGACTTCCTCACCCCTCACCAACTCCTGGGTCGACCCCCGTTCCCTGATGGATGGTGCCCTTTCTCGCCCTCTCTCTTCCACCTGTTTTACGCCACCCGCCTTATCGCCACCGTCATCCTGCATGCTACCATACGCTCCTACGTCGCCTCCTTCCCTCTCCACGTCCTTCTCTTTAGTATGGCCTGGCAGGAATTTAATAATATCGAAATCTGTTGCATCATCTCGGGCATAATTCCTGCCTGTGAAAATTACGACAACTTCCACGCTGCTATCCCTCGCACCCTCTCCACCCTCTACCCCGACTATCTCGCCTCTCTCTCTCATGAACGGGAGCATGCCCGATTGCCCCGCATCCACCACACCGTCCAGTACACCCGGATCCCCATCAGTGACAGGGAGATTCGCCGCTTCATACCTACCCTCCCCCAAGGCCACCCACCACCTCCCCCTCCCGTTATCAGATTACCCTTCCCCGAAAATGTTTGAGGGAGAGCCCACGAATGCCACGACTGAGTGACTTCCGCACTCTTATCTTACGGTATGTGGCGCGTGTGAGTTCCACGTCAATCCTCGGGACATAGATTGACGCATAAGTGTGTGAGCAAGCGGGAGCTTGCTCAAGATTAGAACCCCTTGGGCGTCACATATGTGATGAGCCATTTTCTCTAATCGCGCGATTTCCTGCGCGAAGATGGCTCGAGGAATTGGATGGGTCAGATGGATGAGCCATGGAAGGACAGGTCGGTCGGGCAAATTGTATGGATGCTTTCGTGTCTTTTTCTTTTTGTGGGAATCTGTCGGGTCGGCGTGGAAAAATCCCGCGCCAACGATTGAGTAACCGCGCCTTAGCGAGCACGACGGATGATGGTGGCCATGGCTTCTTTCTTGTTCTGCTGAGAGCACTTGGAATTTTGGTGAGGTCATCACGAGGGAATATCGTTTTTGAATTTTCAATTGACGACGAGCCCCCACGGGCTCGCGGAATTGTTTTTTGGCTCTTCAGAATTTCCCTTTTGCAATTAGGACTTAGGCTAGGAATTTAGGTACTCTGAATTTTGTTGCGCCGCGTTTCTCACTCCCGCACATCTTGAGGCACTAGGAACTGGGCTCTGACTGGATCGCGCCCTTAATCTTGTGTAACTGTCGTTTTTGGCGAGGACAATTATAACTGTATTTTTATTCTGTCTTGGTTTGCTCATGTTTGCCCGCCTCCTTCTTTTCTGTCCTGCATGCTTAATGCTTTGTTCTAATTGGCCTGAATGCTTATATGACTGGATCGATGCGTGGAGTGCAACTACGACCCCCACGCCGCGACCTGGCCATGAGGACGTAAGCGCTTCCTCTCTTCTCCTTCAGACCACTTGGACTTAATCCCGTATCTATCGCGCAAGCATTCATGCTATAAATTTCGCAAGCGTGATTAGTTTGCTCTCTATGAACTTTGGGGTTAGCGCGATTAGTGAGGGTCGGCTAACGAGTCAGCTCGAGAGGTGAGTCGAAGAGAGAGTTGGGCGATCCGACGAGTTGGTGTCGGGTATTCGGGGTTGACGTGCGGGCCGCGACGGACTGTGGTGCACGAGCGAAACTGGCTTGCATGCTCGAACCAAGTGGGGTGACAACTCTGTGTTGATGCGCGGCAACGGACTGCCCGCATCGGGGAGTGTAGAGCAGAGAAAGAGAGAGAGAGCAGCTATGTGTGGGATGAGGTTTCTTCTTCCACTTATCTGTATAATTTTGGTTTCCACTTTGGCCGATCTTGTTGCGGCCTTCTCGGACTTTCGTTTTAAATCTATGTGACCGTCTAAACATGGTGAACGCGCGTTCCCGTTCAAACCCCCGCGTTCAAACGGTCGTGGGCCGCGTTCAAACGCACCACGTGGCAGGGGGCGGGAAAAAATCGAACGCGCACCCCCTGTCGGCATGCGTGCGTCATGCGCCACCCTAGGGCGCGTGACAATCACAAAAAACGTCGAAAAAAAAAATCACGAAGTACCCCCACCCAGACATATATACATGCACACACATACACACAGACATATGCACACACACACATGCAGTCAATCCTTTTTTTATTTTTTATTTTAGGAGTATGTGTGTATACAGGGGGTGGGGGTGGAGAGAGAGAGAGAGAGAGCACATAATCCCCTTAGCACGGCTTAGAGGGCCGATGCAGGCAATTTGGAGGGTCCTCACAGCAATAAAGCATAGACCCTCCACCAAAATCGAGGACGACACTGCCAGCCAGTGAGTATGGAGTCCAGCACGAGATGGTCGAATATATACTCAGAATTCGAATTCAGGTCTGTGTTTCAGCAGTTATGGGTTTCTCACGTAGTTAGGCCGTGTTGGTCTCTGCACGTGATTCTCAAGGTTGGCTGCACTTCTCACGGAATGTGCAAAATAAGAATGAATCTTCTGCAGAACGTGAAATAATACACCGCCATATGTTTTGTCTTTTGTGATTGTGGTGAATAGAGGCCCTTAGGGCCACTGCACATATTAACGAAAAGAAAACGGGAAAAAAGGAACTGTGACCCATAACCGAGATGCACAAACCTGAATTCGAATCCAGACTATATATTATCTGCTCACGCTGGCAAGTTGAAGTTTGAAGTTCACCTCTGCAGCTCTGCTGCATGTGGGGTCCTAGCTAGTTTGTTGTAAGGGCCCCTCAGTAAAGAGGCTGGACACAAAAAAAAAGTGAATTCTTGTGCTCACAGTTTTGGGGTGTAACGTGGCCTTAACTTTTCTCCCTCTTGGTTTTTGAATTTCATAAATGAGGGGAGTGTTTGGCCACCCCACCCTGAACTTTTTTTTTTTTTTTTTTTTTTTTGGATGTGCTGCATCATGTGCATGTGTGTGCATCACCTGTGCTCTGCGCTGCATGTGCCACTCCCCTGTGCATGGGATACGCCGCAAGTAGGGGTCTGATACTTTTTTTTTTTTTTCCGTTTTCTGAGTTTTTCCTTCCCCCCCCCCCCTCAAAAACAGGGATGAGGGGGATACCCGCTTCCCGATCCCCCACAACCCCCACTTGCCGAATCAACCCACCTCCCACCTTTTCCCCCGAATATTCCTACCTGCGCTAACCCGTTCATGTTGTAAACGCGTGTTCATTGAACGCGTGTTCACTGCGTTCAGTTTCTGAACGCCGAACCCGCGTTCAATGAACGCGTGGTTACATAGTTGTAAATCGTTTCGGATTTTTTTTGTTGTCTTTGTTTCGTGTGTATGCATGGAATGGATGTGAACCCCTTTCTTTTGCGATCTTTTCGGATCTCTCTCTCCTCTTGCTCTATGATGCATGCTTAGTTATTTCGTCACTTTCTAGTATCCATTTGTGTTGAGCAATAGTCCCCGGTCTGATCAAAAGTACCTGCTATGGACGTCTGTATTTAACCATTAGATCACCGAGAATGTTGTGATTGCCCCCTTCCCCCCCCCCACTTCCTTCTCTTTCCCTTCATCGCATGAACGGCATGGATGTGAATGTAATGACTGGATCTCCCCCGAGATAACACGGGTAGGATAGTTGCATGCATGTAGGAACACAATTGATACACGGACACGAGGAACCCTAGTCCGATCCGCTTTTACTCATGTGCACGCTCGCGTATGACCGCGATCTTGAGAAAACCGAGTTGCAGCGTACGCGCGAGTTTGCATGAGTCAACCTCGAATTCATTATGAGGATGTGGAAGACCGAATTCACTTCTCGGATATGGTTGTAAACCCCACCTCTCGGATCACCGATTGTGAGAGCCTGAGGGATCTCGAGTATCGCGAATATTGGGAAGGCGAACATCTCAGACGGTGGTGAAACTTGAGAAACCCAGAATTCCCCTGTCTGATGGAGAACGATCGACTGTGCGAGGGAGACTTTCACTGGGCCATAACTAGCGATTCCAGGGGACCGAACTATCCGGAGACTAACAACTCTCAATATTACATATCCCTGGGCTTCGTTATTATTAGTACCAATTTCCCTCCCTTCCATCTCCTCCTTCCATATCACCAGCTCACAGTGGTACCATGGAATTCCATAGCTCGTTGTTTGCCCGTACATCGTGCGAAAAGTGTCAGTGGCACGAGGCGTATCGGGCTTCGAAAATTACCTGACGAACCCGAACCGAAGCCGAGCGGCGCCTACAGCTCGTCGAACCGAGCGACAGCCACCACGACCCACTGGTTCACCAGATAAGGAACCAACCACAGGGACGCAATTGGCAGAGACGATAATCCCAGACACGATCTTCGCGTACCGTCTTGCACTGTTGTCCCTAAGCTTGCCACTGGAGATCTCAGTTCCGACCTAGGACTCCACCCCCCCACTTTCCTAAAATCCTTGGCACACCCCCTTTGTCGCACTTTCGGGCCCCATCCCACTCCGATCAGGAAGTCGCGCTAGGGCGTGAGGTTGGGCATCACAGTACCGACTGAGAGGTCCTTCCTTCTTTCCACGGAGCCCCCGCCACAGCTTGACCAGCAGGATCGCCTAAAGTAGGAGGCGTACCTGCATTGAGTCTGTGACGTTACGACATGGCCAACGTTATGGACGAGACCAAACACGAGATAAATGCTCGCGCGGTAAGATACAGACCCAATACCCCACCACCCATCTTGGATCTCGTTGCTACCCTGTGACCCCTATCCCCTTACATTCCAATTTTTTTTTATCGCTTCCTCCTCACCATTACTCTCTCTCTCAGTCCCTCACCCTCCATACCTCCTTTCTCACTTTCTTGAAGGGATCTACAATGGATTGGCCGTTCTTCATCGACAATTGGGTCGGGTGAAGAGACGAAAATCCTACCTTGCGATCTCATCCCCTCCACTTCCTCT